TACAAGTCCTTTCTCCCACCGAGCTGTTCTTTAGGACTGAGCTATCAAAGATGATTCCCTCAATCTGTCACCTGAGCTCTGGGATCTCCAGTTTCAGTATGTGTTAAAAGGGACCAAGCGGCAATCACTTCAGCCCAGGGTTCCCCTCTCTGGTGAGGGCCTTCCCTACGTGGACAGGGCTTAGTTTTGACAAGACATTCCACTGCAGGCTTTCTTAATGAAACTGGTGTCAGACTTAGCAGAGGCTTTTGAGTAGCTTTTGATCTCATAGTGACAATTGATGAAAGAACATTGTCTCAAGAGAGTACTTAACCAGCTCTAGCAGTGCTGTGTTCAATAGCTTGCCCTCTTTTCCCAGCTATAATAAAAAAATGTCTGTGCTTTCTACAAACCTCACCTATTAGGTAGTAGGCTATCATGGTTGAAACAACATATTAATCGGGTTGACCTGTCAATATCAAACTGTTCAGCAGTTAATATCAAGAGTAAAACGGATAAATATTCCATCCTTGGTGATCTGGGATGATATTAGAATTTAATTTTTTTTTTTAAATTTTTAATGTGCATTCAAAGTAGTTTTTTCCTCTGCCATCCCAATGGTACGAGGATGATTCTCAGAGGAAAAGATTGAGTTGTACTGTTGGAAACATGCTAGTGAATCACAGTCAATAAAGCTTTGAAAATAAATGCAGGGACTAGCCACGCAGCTTTGCAGACTTTACACCGGTTGGAGGAACTTGACCCAAGTATTCAGACAACACGTGTGCTTTGCATGTTAATTGAAGCTGACTGGTATCCAGACTGCGGTGGTGTTAGTCTTCTCTGCAGTGATATGTAATGCTATTTTTAAAAAAAAATCGACAGCATAAAAGCAAGCCCTCTAGCTAAGGAGATAAATATTTGTACACAGATACTGTTTTATTTATAACAGAGAGGAGAATGCTTGGAGCAGTTACTCAGAAATTTTACATTTCAAGAACACGCTGAAAACAGCCTCACTTTTTCCTGTTACTCAGTTTGGATCTGGAGTGGCTGTGGGTCTTGGAGCTGTGTATCTTCCATGGACTGAGTTCAGCTGCCCAGTTTCTAGACATTTGCTTTCTATCTTCCTGAATCTTATGAGAGCTACAACTTTAGGGAAACGTTAAAAAAAGCAGGAGCGGGGCTGTGGAATAGCGTACCCTCTGGATAACCTCTCACCTTCACCGAGAACCCAGCCCACCTGCTTTACACAAATGTATTGCTCTGCTGAATTCAGTGGGATCATTTGCAGATACTCTCAGGGTTTTTTACAGTGGGTGCATACAGATATTTTCCTTGGAAGGGCAGTGCGGGAGGCCGTATTCCGGAATTGGCCCTTTTCCAAGATTTTACACCTACTTGTGGGGTCAGAGGAAGTTAAAATGCATAGCATTGCTCAGGACTAGGCTTTTTCTTTGGAAAGTTAAAGGATTATTCCAAGGACAAAAATGTGAAATAACTGTGCGTAGAACAAAGGTTCTCAGGCTTTTTCCATAATATTTGGCACATGTTCACAGAGAATTTGCAGACTAGAGGAATAGCTTCCCTTGGAAATCTCATTAAGAAAGGCATTAGCTATATCTCAATATAATTAAACAACTAGATTTAAAGCTAATACTGTGTGACCAACCAGTTCTTTGTAACTGCTGTGCTCATGACCATAATCTGAGAAACTTTTGGCTGACCTACAGCCTGGCTCACTTGTGGCATGTGCCATGGTCTTAAGACAGCTTAATATTAGAAATGGTTAACATCTCCCTTCTGGCCTGGGATCTCCTTATGCAGAGGAACTGACTGCTTCTCCGACAGCGAGCTCCATGGGCTCCAGTGGAACTAGGTCTGATAGATCTGTGCAAATTTTTAGTTCTGAACTTGAAAAGAAAAGGAGGGGGAAAAAAAAGAAACAATGAAAATTTAGGTTTTGATCAGTCTATAATGAACTTTTTAGAACAGAACAAAACATGATTTGGTTGAAAAAAGCGTTTTGTTCATACAAAACAGACAGTTACAATAAAAGCAAAGTAAATGATGAACTGGGTTCCTTAAATTGATTGTGATAATTACATCAGTATGTTTCATTCAGTCAGTAGCCTGACAAGACTCAGCATTTTCCTGTGAAACGGAACATGTGGCTGAACCCTACTCGCTTGCTGCAATGACTAGTCTACGGGGTAAAGATAGGAAAGAGGTCAGCATCTTGCCCTCTGCTTCCCTTGCTTTAATACAAGCTCCTAAAAATAAAGCATGTTAAAAGTTTGTGGTAATGTTTTTATTTCAGTCGAAATGGTTTGGTGAATTTGATTGAATTCCGGAATTACTTCAGCCACTGTGAAACAGAATTTTTCAGCTAATAAATTTGCCTGGATGCCCTTCAGTGAGACAGCCTGGCCTTAACTTTATGATTGCATTTAGGACTATTTAAAAAAAAATAGAGATACATGGAATGCATTAAAGGCAAACTATCACCGGGTTCTTATTTAGTGAAGGTAACTGGCAGCAGCTGCTGTGACTCAATGAATCAGAAATAGTTATAGATAATGGATGGTAAGACAAAGACAATGTAATTTTTTTTCACATGAGAGCGGCTGATCGTGTGACAAGGTTTTATTATAACAACTGTACTTCTGTTTTTCCAAATGATTGATGCACGCAGTACTCTGCATAATCTTCTTCGATGATGAATGTTGGTGCCATGAAGCAACCGTTACTCACTGTGCTATTATTGAACATGAATTTTGAATGACTTGTGGCATAGAGCTGCCAGGTACTTAAATCAATGAAATAAAAGTCAGGAAGAGCCAAAGATAATGTTCCTCCTGCAATATTAACTCCTGTGGCTTGTATACAAATGATGTTTCTGGTAACTAGTTAAGGGGTCACATCTCTGGACTCCCCATACACGGGATGAAGGAAGGAGAAGGCATATGAATCAATGCTTACTGTTTGGACGTGAAAGTTATTTTGTTTTTTTCTCTTCCTCCCCTCCTGCATTGGCAGGAAAAGCTGGGAGTGGGTAGGAGGGATCAATGGTTTGGCTCTAGGGAGGAGGTGAATTCATCTTCCATGTGTGCTGCCTGAGGCTGGATCAACCTGAAAGGTGGTGGAGCACCTTGCCTAGCTCTGCTCATCAAACACAGCGTTGCTGCTCACACCTGGTGGTGCAGTTACACAGAAGAGGGGTATGGGAGCACCGAGCCGTGCTGCTTCTTCCATGGGGCTGAGGTTGCTCCACGGATTTCCCCAGCTGGGTTCCAGGACTGGAGGGAAATGTGCTGGCATAGTTGAATGCTCTCCGCCTGGCTTACAGAGATGAGAAGAGTTGTGTTCAGTGTATTTGTACATCACTGACCTTCCCATCTCCGTTCTCACAGCAGGAA